AAGAAAGAAAGAAAGAAAGAGACAGACAAGGCATTCAAATGGAGGAGATCCTATTTCCTGAATCACAACGTTTCATATGACCCAGCTCAAGGGGCCCAGAACCGCTTCTCCGTCCACCGCTCGGCCGGTGAGGGGTAGCGGAGCTGCTCAGGGTCAGAGCGTGTGGTGGGGCAGTGAGGTCGAGGACCAGGAGCCCAGCAAGGGCCATTCGCTGAGGCCTCAGAGATGAACAAGTGGGCTGTTCCTGGGATACCACACTAGGCAGGGAGGGGAGGGCGGTGCTCAGCGTGAGAAGGAAACAGTCTTACCTGGATGGTCCTGCGATCTGGAGTAGACACCACGCACCTGCACACAAAAGACCACAGTGTGAGAGACGCTCGGGGAAAGCCTCCGGAGAAACCGAGCCCGTCTCCATCCTGGCCACTTGGGGACATTACCTGAAAGTTGTAACAAAATAGCAGCAGGCGGGAGCACCAGCAGCACAGCCGCAGCAGCTTTGCCATGGCTTTCCGGGAGGTCAAAGCTCGGAGCCAAGTGAAATTCCTGAGGGTCTGTGAGAACGGGACCTCTTAACCTTCACTTCCTTGGAAAAGGGACATTTTCACAGGTTCCAGTGGGAAAAAAAAAAGTTCTGTCTCCTTAAAGTTTGTGAAACGCAGCTGTTTTGGAGACCTAATGGGTGTTTCTTCCTTGTCTCAAAACTTGAGATTCTTCAGTGATCAATAAACACGTTGCGATGACCAGAGCAGCTGTGGAATGCAGGGAGGAGAAACCCAAATCCGACTCACAGTCCTGGGAAAGCAATCCCAGGTCACCACTGTGACCGCGACCTGCGCCCGGGGACGGGAGGCTGTTTGTCCTGCGGTGTTTTCTTTTTATTTCAAAAGCCTCCGTTTGTCTCGGTCAGGTTTGGTGCTTCCCTTTTCTCTGAAGAAGGTTTTGTGCGTGGTTTTTCCCTGGAGCGCCCGCCTGCTCCTCGGACTCGTCCTGCGGCCGCTCTGGAGCTCCTTCTGGTCTGGCTCAAGTTCACACCTCCGTCCCGCTCTCTGGGTGGAGAGGGAGTGAGTGATGTAAGTCTCTCTCCTCAAACCTTGTTCTGTTCTCCTTCTCTATTTATATCCCCACTGCTGTGTCCTTCCTGGGTCCTAACTCCAGCCTCTTAACAACAACTGAAATATTTTCAGGATCTCAGGCTCAGAATCAAACCAGACAGACATGGGCTGTGTGTGTGTTACTGATGCCTTCTGGTCGGCACCCTCGAAGTCAGCATAAATATTAATAAATACAAAATGCAAAACAAACCATAAACTCTGTTTAGATCTGAGTCTTGTTTGCCTCCGAGAAAGAATAAAGTTGATAGAGGGATGGAAAAGAAAAACCAGCACACCCACTGTGCCCTCCATATTAAGTGTTTACCACATTTTTCTCTTTAATCCTTTCAGACGTCAGTGAAAGCTACAGAATTAATTACAAGGTACGCTGCCCAATTATACCATACCGCATATCCCCCCACCCCAGCACCAGGAGGATGTTCTCAGTGTGATAGAAAAGAGCCCCTTCGCCAGACATGCCTCAGTTTACCCAAGACCAAAGTTTATCCGATCTATTCCAAATACACATGTACACACAGAGACACACACCCTATAATTGCAATCACAGCTATATTTGCTATGTGATTTAAGTAATACTTACCCTTCATAGTTTCTCCCGCATTCACCAGCTGTGTTTCTAGGCAAACTACTTAATGTCTCTGTTTTCAAATTCCTCATCCGCAAAATGAGGGTTAACAGTTCCTCCTCCTCGGGGCTGTAACAATAAATTAGAGGACAGATCCAAGGCTCTTCAGGCAGTACTTGGAAAATATGTGGCACTCAATAAATGCTGCTATTTTTTATTAAGAAAAATTATCACTCAGTAAATGTTAGCTATGATTATTATTAGCAAGTATAACATAACACCCAGTAAACGTTAGCTGATACAGTTATCTCAATTGTCCTGACTTTAAATGGGAATTAAGAACCCTGAATCCAACATACTTCCTAAAGAGGATAAGAAAATGACTTCCAATCTCTGTGGGATAGAAAAAAAGAAAGTGCTGTCAAAACGTTAGGTGATTATTTTTAACTTGTGCCTGCAGCCTATAACCACTCAGATCCTCTGATAGCCTGAGCCTCTCTGTGGAGCTGGAGAAGGTTTCCAGAGAGTTCCATCTCCTAGCACTAGAGAAACTGTGAACTCCAAAGGCCCAGGGCTGTCTGTAATAACGACCTTTATCCTGTTGCTCAGGCTGGTTGGCTTCAGGGAAAACTAATTTACAACCTTTATCTCTGCCGTTTCATCAGCTCTCCAGTCCCCCACTGCCTCTAGCTGGAAGAGGTGAAGGGAGGGATAGGTAGTTGCAGATTTTTCTCAGCCCCAGTTTTAACCTGGAAGAATTCAAGAGATTGCTGAATATGTGGACCTTTCCCATCTCCATGAACAAACAAAGCCAGCATGGTTTCTTTTAATCATAAAATTGTCATCAGATAACGGGAGACACCCCAATTCAATGGCTGTAATAAAAACTAGATAGAAAACCAATTCAGCAGAGCTTGCCCTGCAGGCGTCTGCATTCATCCGCAGACTCACTCTGGCTGTCCATCCTGGACTACAGTCGAGTGAGTGCCTCCTGCCTCATGCTGTTTGCCTGCGTCCTGTCTCATACCTTGTTCAGAGGCCCAGGAGAACCCACCTCCATGCAAAGCAGCGTGTCTTAAAGCCTGGAGATTTGAGACAGGGCCTTGAGTGGTCCATGGGCCTGGAACCAAGCACCTCTGATGCCCCTGTGCGTCTCATCCCATCACCCAAACATCGGGGTGTTTGGTTCCAAACATCACCTTGACAGCAGGTCTCCCTATCCCTAAAGCTCGCCCCTGCTGTATTTTTTCAATCCCACTAACCACGATCCAATGTACTTCATATCTTAGACGTTTATTTCACTTACTGTCAGTCTCTCCCCACTGAGGCATAGGCCCCATGAGGGCAGATAACTTCTTTCTGCTTGTTCACTCTGCGCCCCAGCCCTGAGGACAGGGCTTGGTACTTGGTGGGTACTCAGCCTTTATCACTGAACCCAGCGTGGCTCTGCCTTCCCGCAGCACCGCCAAACATGCACGTCGGGATTGCAGCGAGAGGGAGTGAGGCACTTAGAGGAGGGCGCCAGGCGAGGAGAACCTGGCCGCTCACACTTCAGACCTGAACTCCTGGATAGCTGATGGGGGAGGGTTTTTCAAGGTGGAGAGGCAGCGGTTACAGGCTAAGTCCCACATGAATAATACCTGGAGGCCACACATTGGTTTGACCTAAAAAGCCAGGACAGCTTGAAGTGGGGGCCCACAGGTCGTATAGTGGGAGTATAGATTTTCTGATTTGTGATTGGTTAAGAAGGCAAGCCTTTGTCCAAAAATTCGACATCAGCAAAAAAGAATGTTAGCTCTGGCCTGTGGGCATGACCTCCTCCAGGCCCCTCAGGAAGAAAGTTAGAACAAAGAACAGTGGTGGGCCCGGAGGGGTGGATCCCAACACTTTGGGAGGCTGAGGCAGGTGGATCACCTGAGGTCAGGGGTTCAAGACCAACCTGGCCAATATGGCAAAACCCCCTCTCTGCTAAAAATACAAAAATTAGCTGGGTGTGGTGGTACATGCCTGTACTCGGGAGGCTACTCGGGAGGCTGAGGCAGGAGAATCGGTTGAACCCAGGAGGTGGATGGAGGTTGCAGTGAGCTGAGATTGAGCCACTGCACTCCAGCCTGGGCAACAGAGCGAGACTCTGTCTCAAAAAAAAAAAAAAAAAAAAGAACATAGAATGGTGGTGGAGTTCAGCTCTCCACTCCCCCATATCTGAGGTCTGTAAGTCAACAGATCCATTTGGTGGGGGTCCAGGTTCTGAAAAACAACTCTGGGACGTTTGTTACGATGTTATCTTTAGTTTCTATAGGGAAGCAATGAATTCCTGACTCCAACTCTCTCGACTATGACTATTGTTTCACGCTACTATTACCTTCTTGCTTCTCAAGTTGTTCATATATTTCTCAGGGCTAGCTAGGTGGCTGGAATTCCCCTTGAAGGAACCCAGGATTTTATTGTATTTGTTTATTTCTTTATTTATTTTGAGATGGAGTCTCATTCTGTCGCCCAGGCTGGAGTGCAGTGGCGCGATCTCGGCTCACTGCAACCTCTACCTCCCAGGTTCAAGCAATTCTCCTGCCTCAGCCTCCTGAATAGCTAGGACTACAGGCACCAGCCACCACGCCCGGCTAATTTTCTTGTATTTTTAGTAGAGAAGGAGTTTCACCATGTTGGCCACGCTGGACTCAAACTCCTGACCTCGTGATCTACCCGCCTCAGCCTCCCAAAGTGCTGGGATTACAGGTGTGAGCCACAGCACCCGGCCCAATTTTGTTTTCTTTCTATGCTTGGGTGGGGAGTGCCCGGCAGGCAGCCTCACATTCAACATTCAAGTCATAGTTTTTGGCCACATGCATGTGTACTTTACTTAAGGAATGCAAAACATTGTTACACTTTGGTAAAATATATCAGACTTCACTGGCAGGATGCTAATTAAACATTAAAAATGAGACCTGGCGGGGCGTGGTGGCTCACGCCTGTAATCCCAGCACTTTGGGAGGCCAAGGCCACTGGATCACAAGGTCAGGAGATCGAGACCATCCTGGCTAACACGGTGAAACCTCGTCTCTACTAAAAATACAAAAAATTAGCCAGACGTGGTGGCGGGTGCCTGTGGTCGCAGTGACTCTGGAGGCTGAGGCAGGAGAATGGTGTGAACCCGGAAGGGGGAACTTGCAGTGAGCCAAGATCGCACCACTGCACTCCAGTCTGGGCGACAGAGCGAGACTCCTTCTAAAAAAAAAAAAAAAAAATAGAAAGAAAGAGACTTTACACTGTGATTAGGCTCCACTCAAAATTGTACAGGGACAAAAAGTGTGACGCCAGCTGCCCATGGGAATGTAACTGGATCATTTGCAAAGCTGATGGCCTGTGCACGACAGAGGGTGTTTCCTGGTGCTGAGCAGCTCAGACGTCCCAGGAGGACAGGTTGGGCCTGAACAAAGAATTCTGTGGCGTGGCCGAAATGCTGAGGGAGAGCTGGACACGCTGTGAGCACAGGAGTCCCTGATGCCTGATTCACAGCACTCCAAGGTGCGCCTCCCTCCAGCTCAGATCCTCCCACACGCCGGCATATCTGTGAGAGGCAGCAAGAGCTGTGTGTCCATCACGTTTGCTCCTGTGGAGATGAGCAAGGCGGAGCAGTAATGCTTAAGCAGGGCGCTAGGAGGGGTGTGCAGCACGCAACGTTCGTGGAAATGAACGGTGTTAGAAGCCTGGGGGTGAATTCACTGAGGAAGTCACGTCAAGGAGTTCGGGGATTCTTTCTCTGAGGGGTTAAGGGATGGGACATTCTGGAAAGAAGCCATGGAATGGACTAAAGCTCCGACGCAGCGTGCCATGGACCGTGGACGCGTGTTGTTTCTACCGGCCCAGCCTCCCCTCCGGCTCCCACCGGCTTTCCTTTGGAAGGGCGTTTCCTCCGCTGACCCATGAGCTCAGACGGGGCTGTCAGAAGCTGCAGGTGTTGCAGGGCACTCGTGACCCAGTGGGAACGCCTGCAGCGCTTCCATACCACAGGCACTGTGATTGGCCCAAAGGTGCACACGTGACCCACTCAAAACCAATCAGTGTCTTCCCGGGGATCAATAGACTGACCGTGGGAGAGAAAAGGCTCCCTCCCCTACTGCTAATCCAGAACGGTCTTCGGTCAAGGCTGGTGATGCCCATTTTCCCCACAATAAAGAAAATAATTACACAGAGCTGAAGATAACAAGCAAACAGAGAGACTCTAGCGTCCTAGCCTTGGAGAGGGGCAAGAGAAAACCCGATGCTGTCAGCTGAGGCCTTGGATCCTACAAGACCTAAAGCCAGCATTCCCTGATAGGCACCGAGAAATTTACGTTAGACTCAAGCAAGTTTGAGCTTGGTTTCTGTCCCTGGTGATTAAGAGTCC